ACCCAGCCTGGGCAACTTAGCCAGACCCTGTCTCAAAATAAAAAAGAGTCCAGAAATATAGCTCACTGCAAAGGCTCTGCTTCAAAACCCAGTACCCCTACCCTACATGTACACACAATGAACAGTGTAGTTTAGGAAGCTCCCTGAGGAATTGACTGGAGGGAGGTGACACTGTACCATGAAGTAGAAGATCTGAATGCACAGTGAGCTTTATAAAGATCATGAAGAACAACTGTGTCTTAGTTTTCTCTCATGCTGAGACAAAATACCCGAGGCTCAAAATTAAGGAAGGAAAGGTTTATTTAGCTCACACTTTGTGGAGGTTTCAGTCCATAAGCAGCTGGCTCCAAGGCAAGGTGGCGCGTCACAGGAGTGAATTCAAGGCAGTAGAACATAGCAAAAGCAACAAGAGCAAAGAGGGGAGGTGCAAGTCTCTCTTCTCCTTTCCATTGTGAGGCCACCACCCCCAGGGCAGGTGTAATACTAGTACTCCCAATCCCAGCACTAGACAATGAGCCAATCATTAACTCTACATTCAACCACCTCTAAAAACCCACAGTCCTCAACTGCATGAGGCTTTGAGGGGACATCCAGACACAAACCATAACAAACGGGAAAACTTTTGTTTTAAAAACCAAATCTGTATTATGTTCCATTGAAAACTACCTTATATATTTTTTATTTTAAAGAGATTAAGACAAAAGAGGACATAACAAAGCAGATCAGATCAGAACAATGCAAGTAACACAGCATTTTACCACAAGGCAACCCATAATTAACAGTAACTACCATAATGTCTCTTTCTTTGAAATAGTTGAGCATAACTTCATATACGATAGTATCAAGCATAACAAAACAGTATAAAACCATTCAAGAGAATGAAAGCATTACAGGGCTTTCAGAACCAAATAGCAGAGAACAAACAATGGCTACTACATTATCTCATTTTCCATAGAAAATTTGTTTATACTATCATACATAATAATATCCAATAAGATATAACAGGATTGAACCAAAGGAAACAGAAAAACAAAAGCATAATAGGACTTCAGAGTAAGATGATACTAAATCAGCCCTGGCTATTCTAATGTCTTGTTTTCTTTAAAGTAGCTGTTTCTATTATCACAGATAATAAAGTCAAACAAACTAGGATAAAACCATTCCAACTAATGAATGCAGACATTATAAGGCTTCAGAGCAATGTAATGGGGAATCATGATTACTATAAACTCTTATGTACTCTTACCATTTTTTATACTAGAGAAAATATTCAGTATTTATACATGTGAGTTTCATTTATTTTGCTTATGAGTATGGTCTCAAGTTGCATCCATTTATTTATAAATATATCAGTGTGATCATTCTTAATAGCTGAGTAGTACTCCATTGTATAAAATACCACATCTCTTTTATCCATTCCTCAGTTGATGGACATTTGGGTTGTTTCCAAGATCTGGTTATTACAAATTGTAATGCTATAAACATGGGTGCACATATTATCACTGTGGTATGATGTTCTCAGTTCTTCTGGGAATATGCCTAGAAGTGGAATAGCTGGAACAAATGGGACTTCCAATCCCAGCTTTTTGAGAAATCTCCACACTGACCTCCACAATGGCTGCACCAGTCTACACTCCCACCAGCACTGCAGGAGAGTTCCTTTTTCCCCACAGTCTCTCCAGCATTTGTTGTCGGTAGGAAAACTACCTTATATTTGATTAACTACTCTGTAAGGTGAAAGTGGCAGTAGATTGAGAAACAAGAAATGGTCACCATCAGCAGCCTGTAATTTAGCTATTCATGAGATTGAGGCAGGAGGATTTTGAGTTTGAGGCCAGCCTGAGCAGATTATCAAGACTCTGCCTCAAAACAGAATTTTAAAAAGTTCTCTGTAGACCAAAGATGAACCACAGTAGAGATTTCCAACCTTGATAAAGGATCCTCTGCCCAGGCTTGGCACAGGGCAAGGCGCCAGATGCAGGCGGACTCCTCTGCATGCCCAGAGCTCCCAGGTTCTAAGTGTAATCTTCGGCCATCCACATGGGTCCAGGAGGGATACTTTTCTGGTGCCATTTTACAGACCCAGAGCCTTGGGCCTGAAGAGGGGTCCTGTGCCCAGTGGGTGTGGTTTCAGGTCTGACTGGCTGCACTGCACCCTGGTTCCTTTAGTTATCCTCTGCAGGTTTCAGTGACAACCACCCATGGTCATAGCTACTTGAATGGCTGAGGCAGGAAGATCACTTGAACCAGGAGTTTGGCACAAGCCTGGGCAACATAGTGAAATCTCATCTTTCTTTTTTCTTGCATTAAATACTGCTCTAATTAAGAATAATCACTATAATAAAACAATGCATATTATTTTCTTCAATGAGCTTCAGTTTGAAAGATGATATTTTAGGACTTTAATCATGGCAAAACTGATTGTTCTCTGCAATCTGAGAACTGCATTAGCAAAACCACAGACATAACTACTCGCCTCCCTAGAAATGCCTGTATTATTTGGGGTAATAATATTGAACATTGGCTACTGTACAATTTGTTGAAGTCAAAAGTCACCTAGTTTACTTGCTCTGGCTAATGTTTCCAGAACTGTACTGAACAGGAGCAGTGATAGTGGACATCTTTGTCTTTGTTACTGATTTTTAGGGTGAAAGTTTTCAGTTTTTGATCATTAAGGTGATGTTAGCTGTTGGTTTGTCATATATGGCTTTTATCAGATTGTGATAAAGACCATCTAGTCTAATTTTCCATAGGTCTTTTTGTTTTATCATGAACAGATGTTGGAGTTTGTCAAATGCTTTTTTCACATCTATTGAGATGTTTGTCCTTGGCTATTTTAATGTGGTGTATTTTATTTGTTGATTTATGTATGTTGAACCATCCCTGGATCCATAGGATGAATTCTACTTGGTCATGGTGTATAATCTTCTTGATGATTTGGTATTCTGTTTGCCAGTAACTGTTTGAGAATTTTTATGTCTGTGTTCATTAAAGAGATTGGCCTGTACTTCTGTTTTTTTGGTTATATCCTTTGGTTTTGGTATCAGGATAATGCTTCCTTCCAGGAATGAGTGTGTACTATTCATTGAAGAGTATGAGGAGTAGTGGTATTAGGTCTTCTCTCGAGTTCTTGTAGAATTCAGCAGCTAATTTGTCAGGACCTGGGTTTTCTTTGTTGGTAGTTTTTAAACATTATTACATCAATTTTATTGACTGAAATTGGGTTATTGAGAATTTTTATATCTTCTTGACTCACCTTTTGTAATTCCTATGTATCTAAGAATCTCCATTTCTTCTGAGTTTTCCATCTTAGAGTTCAGGTTCTCAAAGTAAGTATTGATGATCTGGATTTATGCAAGATCTACTGTGATTTCACTCTTTTGTTTCCTAATTGTATGGATTTGAGTCTTTTTTTTGCTTTCTTTTTGATAAGGCTGGCTGAGTTTTGTCTATTTCATTTTATTAATCTTTCAAAGAACCAACTCTTCCGTTCACTGATTCTTTTTTTTTTTTTGAACCAGGGATTGAACTCATGACCTCATGCTTGCCAGGCAGGCTCTTGTGCCACTAAGCTAAACCCCCAACCCCAATTCATTGATTCTTTATATTTTGTTAGTATCAATTCCATTAGTTTTTGCTCTGATCTTTATAATTTTCCCCGTTGTTTTTACTTTGAGTTTAATTTGTTATTCTTTTTCTAGAAGCTTTCAGTCCAACATTAGGTTATTTATTTGAGCTCACTCAAATAAATTTTCTGATTTTTTTTCCAATGTGAGAATACAATGGTGTAAATTTCCTTTCTAGGACTGCTTTCATTGTGTTCCATAAGTTCCAGTATGTCATACTGGCATTATTGTTTAATTATCTAATTTTTTTCTTTAATTCACCTGTGACCCATGGTTTGTTCAAGAGGGTATTGTTTAATATCCGTGTGTTTATGGAGTTTTTTGGTTTCTTTTGCAATTGATTTCCAATTTCATTGCACTGTGATCTGGTAAGATGCATGGGATAATTTCAATTCCTTTGCATTTACTTAAGCATGTCCTGTGAGCTAATGTGCAGTCTATTTTGGAGAAAGTCCCAGGTGCAGTTGAGAAGAATGTGCATTCTGTTGTTGAGTGCAGCACTCTGTAGATATCTACTGTGTTCATTTGTTCAAAGGTTTAGTGCAGCTCTGATATTTCTTTGTTGATTTTTTTGTCCAGTTGATCTCTTTGTGACAGTGGGGTTTAGAGGTCTTCTATTACAATTGTATTAGTGGTTATCTGATTCTTCATATCCATTAATATTTGTCTCATATAGTTGGGTGTGCTGGGATTTGCTGCATATCTATTTATGATTCTTATCTTTTCCTCTCAGATTGTTCTCTTAGTAAGTATGTAGTGACTTTCTTTGCTAATTGGAATTATCTTGCTGGGATTCCAATAATGTTTCAGTGGGATTACAAATATAACTTTCAAGATTGTGAGGAGGACTAGAAAAAGAGATTAAAATGTTTGGGCTACAATGTAGAATATTTGGATTATAATATTCAATATTTGGATTATAATACTGCTCTTCTATGAGGAAATTCCTTCATGGGGTGGAAAAAAGCTGTCAAATTATCTCTATACCATATACCATTCTGCCGCCTGCCTTGAGTTGCAAACATGGCTCGTTAATATGATGAATGAATTGGTTTGAAAGTTTACCTCCCCTGATTCCAGAAGATGGAAGCAAGCAGGATTTGCACTCTATAGAGGTTTTCTTTTAGGCCATGGAGCTGATCTGGGAGAATCTTTTTTTAAAAAATTATATATATATAAACATAAACATATATATATATAAACATTTTATATATATATAAACATTTTTGGAGAGAAACTGGTTTACTTGACCCTCCCTTTTTGGTGTGGTCTATCTAAATTTCACTGCTTAGCAAAAGGAGGTGGTGATGGGGTGGGGAAGTTTAATAATTACCTTTGCGAACCTATGTAACTTTGGCTTTCTCCGCTCCTGGGCACAAGATATGGTCCTTGCTGGATTGGTCCACATTCGTAGGCAGGCAGCTGGGCTGGCAGCTCCTCCAGCTCCCAAAGGTCAAGGAGAAAGGTAAGATTGCCTGGGTGATGGGGAGGCCCGCTGCTCTCCTGGCTGGGTGGCCAGGCCTGAGCGGAGATTACATTTGGAGCAATTGAGGATGTGAGCGATTGAGGATGTGTTGGGCTGGTTTTCCTCAGCAATTGTTTTGTTTTATTCCTTGTATCCTCGAACGGGAAAGCACTGTGCCCATCCTGAAGATCAGGTGTGCCCCAGGGGACTTAAATTTTGGAAGGAATTATAAGAAAGCCGTCCTTGCCTTGAATTGATTCCAGTAAGTATATTCCAATATGTTTTAAACAATTTTCTATTTTTGCAAACAAAAATGTCAGATGATGGAGCCAGGGTAAGTTTCAAGCAAGTCACAGCTGAGGATTAGCAGAGAGCCACTTGGCACAGGAGCCAGGGGCAGATGGGCCAGGGGCAAAATAAGCTCCTGAACTTTGGGAAAGATACAGAAACTGCTTCCTATGGCCCAAATAATAGCAGTGGCTGATTTTTCTCTCTGGCCTGAGCAAATTCTCCCCAAAGGACTGCTGCCTGCATCCTTCTAGAACCAGAGCTGACCTTCATTTTGGGAGTCCGTACCCCTTTTCCATGTACACCAGCGTGGAGCAGCCCTGGCTGAGCTTCACTTTGCATTTGTCTGCTTTTGCTGAAACAAACTTCAGCTCGTCTCTCTTTACAGCCTCCTGAAACCAACAGAAAGCAAAGATGTGGGAGGAGACAAGCCCAAGAAAACGCAGGGAGGATGAGCACTCCATCCAGAGCAAGGAACCGACAGCCACAAATCTCCAGAAAGAGGTGAGGCCTCCTGTTTTCAGTAGGTGTTTCCCAGCTCAGGGTGGGGCTATCTGAATGATCCATGACAAACTGAAGAGCACGGCTTTTTATTCCTCCAGTTCATCTTTAAATGAGCCGTGCTCTGGACCCACTCCTGCCCAGTCTCCTGTGAACTCAGCATACTCTTGCATCATGCATGCACTTCATGCGTGTGCTTCCATGAGCTGGGGAGGGACTGAGGTCTGGTATTTGCTCAGACCTAAGGCCTTTTCAGGGTTGGTTAAAGGGGGCCTCCTGGTAGTCAGGTCCCTGCTACCCATCTTCAGTTAATGCCTCTTTCATGTGACTGTCTTGGAGGTCTCACTGCAAAGCTGCAGCTTACATAGATAGAACAGGGATGAATGTGCTGAGCTGTGCTGAGGGCACAGCTCCTGTGCTGGGCCAAGAAGGAGAGAAACTTAGGGATAGGGGTGGTAGGGGTGGAGGAGCAGCATAACCAGGTTCAGTGGCTTAGGCCTATAATTGCAGCATGCCAGGGTATAGGGGCCGAGGCTAAAGCAGGAGGATTGCAAGTTTCAGCGCTGCCTGGTCAATATAGTGACTTAGCAAGACCCTGTCTCAAAATAAAGAGCTGGGGATACAGCTGCATGGGAAGGTCCTGGGTTCTATCCCCAGGACCAAAAATTCAAGGAAAAGAAAAGGAGCTGCACGCTGAGCCTGTCCCATGGAATCTGGCATTGAATGTGGAGGAAAAGCTACAGGTCCATGGGTGAGGAAAGAGAGCCCCCTAGAAACACAGGATGAGAGCAGAACTCAGATGACTACCAGGCCAGGGCAATGGGGCTGAGCCTTGGGTGGGGCCTGCAGGAGCCCTGAGAGCTAACAGGAGAGGGAACTGAGGAGGGTTTCTCATGGCCTGACTGCCTTTTAGCTGAGGTCTCTGTCCCCCGGAGTCAGGGATGGGCATCAACACTCTCCCTCTGCCATGTCCCAGTCTGATGCCAGTAAAGTCCCTGACAGTGTTCCTTAGCCATACAGCAGAATTGAGCAAACCCCAGGGCTGTCCCAAATGCAGTTACACAGCAGTACCAGGGTGAATGGCAGCCTTCTCCTCTCCAAATCAGAGAGCAGCAGTCTTCAGCAGGAGGGATGGGGAACCAGATGGTGCCCCGAGGAGGAAGCTCAGGCTGCCTCACCTGCCTGGCGCACACATGGCTCTGAGGCTGTGGGGAAGTGGATTCTGTACCCCAGAGACCCTGCTGTGTGTGCCTGTCTAGTTTCATGATGAACAACATGCTGCGGGGTCCTCCTCACTCTGAGCAAGCACAGACTATGCCCAGACAGGAAGCTCCCTGCTGTGTGCTCTGGGACTCAATCTGCCTTTAATCATGAGAGTTTTAGGCAGACATGGTGGCGCGTGCCTGTAATCCTGGTACAAAGGAGGCTGAGGAAGGAGGATCATTGCAAATTTGAGGACAGTCTAAACTACACAGTGAGCTCAAGGCTGTCCTGAACTGCATTGTAAGATCCTGTCTCAAAAATAAATAAATAAATAACCTATTTTTGGCTGGGCCTACAATCTCAGCATTTGGGAGGCTGAGACAAGAGTATCACAAGTTTGAGCCCCACTCAACTTAGTGAGACAATCTCAAAATAAAAAATACAAAAAATCTGGGGATGGACGTGGGGTCCACTTTGACCCAGGCAGGCACAGAGTTGGGGGTCGCCTCTGGCCCCATGAGTGACAGCATTAACTCCTCTTCTTTCTCCTCATCCCAGGTGGGGCTGCTCAGTGGCATCTGCATCATCGTGGGCAGCATCATCGGCTCCGGGATCTTCATTTCCCCCAAGTCTGTGCTCAGCAACACAGGAACCGTGGGGCCCTGTCTCATCATATGGGCGGCCTGCGGGATCCTCGCCACACTGGGTAACAAGGACTCTGCCTCCTGGCCCCCTCCCCATAGAAGCCAGGGAACACAGGGATAAGTATTGTCCTTCTTGATGCCAGGTCCCTCACCCATTTTTTGGTACTGGGGACTGAAACTCAGTCTTTCTTACTGAGCTACATCTCCAGCCCATTTTTAACTTTGAGCCAGAGTTTCCCTAAGTCACTAAGTTGCCTAGTCTAGGCTCACACTTGCAGTATACCTGGCTCAGCCTCTCAGAGTGCTGGGATTACAGGATGCAGCACCACACCTGGCTCTATACCCTTTCAATGCATGGGTGGCAAATAAGGGTAAATCGGGGTGCCACTAAATGTCTAGTGCCAGAGGACTTGGGCCTATGTGGCACAGCCCCCACTGAGAAAGGATGACTTCTCCTGAGGGTCTGAGGGGGGCCATACCTCTCTGCATTCCAGGAGCTCTGTGCTTTGCAGAGCTTGGCACGATGATCACCAAGTCGGGCGGCGAGTACCCGTACCTGATGGAAGCCTTCGGCCCCATCCCTGCCTACCTCTTCTCCTGGGTCAGCATGATGGTGACGAAGCCCTCCTCCTTTGCCATCATCTGCCTCAGCTTTTCGGAGTACGTGTGTGCAGCCTTCTACTCGGGCTGCGAGCCTCCCGAAGTGGTCATTAAATGCCTCGCTGCTGCTGCCATCTGTGAGTGCCCCAGCCTGATGTCTGGGGTAGGGGTCATAGGTGACTCTGCAGAGGCTGTGGCTGGGGATCCTGGCCTCAGATCCTCTGTGCCTAACCAGAAAGAGGCCCCTGGGGCCTAGTGGCTCTGGAGAAACAGGGTTGGTGGCCACCCTGGGTACTGAGTAGCGCCTAGGTCTGTCAGGGGCTACAGGAAGGACTGCTGAGTGCTGTCCCTGTCACCTGCCAGTGCCCTGCACTCAGGGCCTAGCTGCTGGCTTGTTTTCAAAGGTCACCATCAGGTGCATTACGCAGGTCTTCCCATTCCCTCCTTTGGACCTGTGCTTGTGCCCTGGGACACAGTCTAAGGGGGAGGTGGGAGGGATAGAAGCAAGACTCCAGGGCCACATGCAAAGCTGGACACAGGATGTGGCCTGCCCTGCTCTCCCTTTCCCAGTGCTTATCATCACAGTGAATGCGCTGAGCGTGCGGCTGGGGCGCTACGTCCAGAACTTCTTCACTGCAGCCAAGATGGTGATCGTGGCCATCATCATCATCAGCGGTGTTGTCCTCCTGGCCCAAGGTGACTGGGAGAATGGGAAGGGAGGGCAGGCGCCATGCAGCACACACACACATGAACACAGCACACACACATGCACACCCCACCTGTGTGTGAGTCTGGTGGGAACTCCGCAACAAGACTCAGCTGCCGGCTTCTCTGTGTGTGTCCTAACCTGGCTTTCAGGGAAAGCAGTGGGGAGTTGAAGTCGCTCAGCTGACACTAGTGTTTCACTGTCTGATTTAATTGCAGGAAATACAAGAAATTTTGAAAATTCCTTCGCGGCTACACCAGCATCTGTGGGCGGCATCAGCCTGGCATTTTACAACGGACTCTGGGCATATGATGGGTGGTAAGTTGGGGCCTTGAGATGTCCCAAGTCTGTGCTCTTTAGGTGTCATGTCTGGCTCCTGGTCAGGGAACCAAAATGTCACATCTATGAGATGAACGCTGCTTCTCTGCTGGCAAAGCAGAGAAGCCCCAACAAAAACTAGAGGGACAAAGTTTACCAAAAGGAAGACACTTTATTTGTAAAGAGGAAAAGGAGGGGAGAGGAAAGGAGATGACAAACAGCTACGCTGGAAGGAAGAACCAGGGGAGGGGGCTGCGGAAAGATGGAGGACCCGTGGGCCTCAGCCCCCACTGCCTTTACGGGGGCGGGAGAGCGTTTCCACCAGCCAGAGCTTGCCTTCGTGGTACTGGCTTTCACACACCTCTGCCTGACTTCAGAACAATATTGCCAAAAACAAGACAGTAGGAAGTGCATGAGGGTTGCTATATTGCATATTGTTATCCTCTAAATAGATGCTCAGACCACTGACTTTAAGTCTGCAAAGTCAAACAAACAACAGAAGCATTAAGTTCTTTCTTTACTTCAGTTGCTAACATCTTAACCTTCATTCTCCCGGATCAGCCAGTCTTTTCTCTATACCCGGGCACTGCTTCCTGCTGGACTCCAGACTGGCCTGACTGACTGCTGCTGTCACACAGGAGGGTGCTGCTGCTTCCTGCAATGGGCAATCTTAAATGAAGCCGGCATTTAAAATTGTTTCACAATCTTATCCTAGAAATTCAAGTCACGTGTCACCGTTGTTCCTTTTGTTTTTTTCAGGAATCAACTCAATTATATCACTGAAGAACTAAGAAACCCTTACAGGTAACAAACCTGAGCTAGGCAGGAGACAACAGATGCAAAAGCATATGCCACCCTTCCCAGGCAAAAATAGAGATGCTGTTTCCTATTGGTCCCCAGTTCCATTACAGTCAGTGAATTTTTCATTCTGCCAACCCAGGGCCTCCTCTATGCAAGGCAAGCACTCTACCATGGGAGAGAATGGCTCCTTCTAAGCTCATCATCCACCCATGCATAGGGTTTGGCTGTGTTGGGGGCAGTGGACTGGTCACTAAGAGGAAGGAAGAGCTCTAACTGCCTTTATCCCCCACTTCCTTTGCTTGAAACAATTTATTCTACTGCACTAGGATCCGGGAGGGAATCTTCTCACTGGAAAATCTCTCCTTCCTGCTGGGCTCTGCCATATCTCAACCCCCTCCTAGGAAGGGCATCTGTGGCCTTGGCCACCACACCGAGAAGGGGTAATGTCCAGGGAGGGGAGAACAGGATGAGGAGGACACAGACCCTCTGGTCTAACCCGGTTCCCTGTCACTGTCTCTCTCAGAAACCTGCCCCTGGCCATCATCATCGGGATCCCTCTGGTGACAGTGTGCTACATCCTCATGAATGTCTCCTACTTCGCTGTGATGACCCCGACAGAACTCCTGCAGTCCCAGGCAGTGGCCGTGGTGAGTGTGGAAGGGGCTGTGACCTGTGGGAGAAGGCAAGAGGAGACTGGGAGACGGACAGGTCAGGGGCTCAGCGGAGGTGAGAGGGCAGGAGTTAGGGGAGACAGGAAGGGCTGGTGGGCTCTTCCTGTCTAGCAGCAGCGCCAGCTGCCTGAGCACAGGTAGAGCTCATGGCAAGATGATGTGGCTCAAGAACCAGGGCTGGGTGTTTGACAGACAGGAGGAAGGAGAGGGAAATGTGCAGGGTGTGAATTCTAATAGTGAGTTGTGGAATCAAAGCCAAATGAAGAGGGAAGAGATCAGATAAGCTGGGCAGGGTGATGCACACCCATCATCCCAGCTACTTTTCAGGCTGAGGCAAGAGGATGACAAGATCAAGGCCAACCTGGGGAACTTACTGAGACTTTTTCCCAAAATAAAAAGGACTGGGGATGTAGCTTAGTGGTACAGAACTCCTGGGTTTAATCCCCAGTACCATTGTACACACCCACACACCCACACCCACACACACACAAAAAGGCTGAGACAAAACAATCATAATTTCTAGTCCAGCCTAGGCAATTTGTAGTGACTTAGTGAGACTCTATTTTAAGGTTAAAAATATAAACATTAAAATGTTTAGAGACATAGCTCGGAGCACAGGCTCTAACTTCAATTCCCAGTATTAAAAAAAAATGCATTGGGTACCAGGGACCGCAAAACATGCATAGTTTCCACATGCTGGGGCCTTGTGGATTAGGGATAGGAAAAAAATGAGTTAGAAACAGTCAGCAAGGTGGTGAGGTTTTGCGGAGGGCAGGAGATGTAGTTTGGTTAAAGCTGAGGGCACCAGTCATCAGTCCTTAAGGGGGAAGGGAACAAGGTCACTCTGAGTGAGCCTCAGGGAAGCCAGAGCACAGGGTGTTGGCAGGATTATGCAGTACCTAAATGATGGCTGAAAATGGTGGCTTTTGAGATTCCTGTCACCAGCAAAGAACTCTGAGACTGCAGAGTGGTGACACAGGCCTATAATCCCAGAAATCTGAGAGATTCACACAGGAAAATAAAATTTTGACCCCAGCCTGGGCAACTTGGCAAGACCCTGTCTCAAAATACAAAATTTAAAAAAGATTGAGGACATAGCTCAGTGTGAAGACCCTGGGTTCAATCACCAGTGCTACAATTGATTCATCCATCAGTACAAAATCCTGAGATCCTGGGAAGAGTTTTTCAGCCGCTGCTCTCCAGTAGGAGTCCCCGAGGCTGTGCCTAGGGAGATGAGCTGGGGACCTGAGCTGTCTGGGAGGACAGAGGAGTTTATTTGGACCAGTGGCTCTTGGAAGTTATGGAAGGGAAGAGTCTCAGGATTTGTTTCCTTCTCCTGACAGACCTTTGGTGACCGTGTTCTCTATCCAGCCTCTTGGATTGTCCCACTTTTTGTGGCCTTTTCCACCATTGGAGCTGCTAATGGGAACTGTTTTACTGTGGGCAGGTAGGGGACCCTGCTGTCACTCTGTTTTCTGGTGGGCAGGAGGTAGCCAAGCTGCTGTCAAACTCAGGAGTCCCTGAATCCCTGGGGCTGGACCAGGTCAAGCACCTCCCAGCCCAAGTGAGAGCCTCAAAATCCAGAGAAGGGATGTGGCTGTACCCACAGGGCAAACTGGCAAAGGAAGATGGACAAGGCCACTTCAGTGGAGCCAAGGTGCCAACTAGGGGGGAAACACAGCTGAGCAAGGGCAGAGGGGGTGACAGGAACAAATGAGTCTTTCATCTCTACATGGAACCTTTCAAACTGCATTCTTTACATAGTGCTATTCATGAACATCTTCTAGTGTTCATACATACACAGACTCGCCAAACTTTCCCTAAATAGCCAAAGCTTAGTACTCCAGGGCATAGGTTTGTAAGTTTGTCAGGGTTTGGGGACTATTGGGTTAGGGATATTTTAGCTGGTAAATTCCTCAGAGTAAAGAAAGCATGCAGTGCTGACATCAGCAATAATAGTAAATAAGCATCTCTCGTTTGGCTTATATATATTGGCCGTTATCAAGGTTTATCATCTTGTGTACTGTCGTGGCATGTATATAGTACATGGCTCTATGCTGAATCATGCTTACAAAAGTGTACCCTACTTTGCACCTGTGCTAGACATGGAATTTCCTATTTCTGAAATGCAAAAATAATCGAGTGTCTCCTTAATTTCTATTTGATTTCTTATGCTCTCAAGGCATCTCTCAGTAGGTTCCACTCCAAGGTAGGCGGATGCCATCTGGAGAGAGACCAGACAAAACTTTTCTAGGCTATTCATCCTTGCACTGGTGCATAATTTCCTCTTCCCAGGGAGTACTGTTGGTGCTTTACGTAAGCACAAGTTACAGTTGATCTCAGCTATAACAATTGTGTCTAAAGAAGGAAGAATTGCTTAGCACTAAACCATTGCTGTCTATGTCTTTGAAAGAGGGAAAGTACCAAAGTGTGAGTTGGAAGTAGCTGGACCACTTGTCAGCCTGCAAAGGAGACACCTCTAGGGATAATCAGGAAAAAATGACTTGCAGAAAACTTTTACCCTGGGTGGTAGGACAAAGTAGTCTGCAAGACATTCTTGTTATCTACTGAATCACCTAGGCAGCCAGTTTTAGCAGCAAGACAAAGCCATATTTAAAAAAATTTATATCTCTGAAGCTCAAAGTTAAACTTATATGCATCACCTAGCAATTACAATTCACAGGTTAGTAAAGGTATATTTTAGTCTTCTATGTACACATGAAGGCAAATAAAAGGCTAATAAAATCTCTTTATTAATCTTGGCATATGCAAGCACAGATGTAAATTGTTGCCTCTGATGGCTGCTTTCTTCTGTGAAAGCCGAATGGTTGTTGTAGGCTGATGCTCTAAGGACAAAGCAGTTCTAAGATGACTCCCAGCAAGTTGGAGAAAACTTGGGAGTTTCTAACTTACTACCAGAGAAAGAAAATTATGGTAAATAAGTGGAGATTTTTCTGCTACCAGTCAGGTAGTTGGGAGCCAGTTCCACGGAAAAACCTCTGGTTATCTACCAGGGAATAGTCCTGGCCAGGACTCAGTTTCTCTTTCAGTTTTTACTGGTCCATGCAAGCAGAAATCTGTCTTGGAAAGGAATTCAGCTGCCTCTCTGGTCAACATTCCGTTGGTCTTTGACTTCAATGCAGATTCACCAGAAGGTGTGGGGGAAATCTTTCCTCTGCTTTAAGAGTGATAGCTGGTCTAAGAGATATAAGTAGCTGGCAGAGTGACCACTGTTGTTAAAGTTCTAAAAGACACATATAAAAATCTTACCTGTACAAAACCCTTAAAATTACTACATAGCATTTTGTAAGTACACAATTAAATTTTCAAAGTCCATAACTTCTTATCAAAGTATTTTCCTCTCCTGTACACATAAATGATAACTAGACCTAGAAGGGGAAGAGAAGGTTGGACGCCCTCCCTTAAGATAAATGTGTTTTGGTCTGTGAAGTGAGATGCTTTGGAAATAACAGCTCTGGCTTCCCCTAGAAGTCAGTTCTTACCATGGGGTGTCAGGTTGTTTCCCAAGGAATACTGTTGCCCGGAACACTAAAGTGGAAGATCAGGCCAGAAAGGAAACTGAGGCATAACAGGCTCAAAATTTCCTCTCCTGTGGAGAGGAGGATGAGAGTTGGTATGTACAGTGAAACCTGTACTCCAAGACTTCAGAACAGCTGCTGGCCTATTGCCTTTTAATTGGCAGTTAGGGCCCTGTGATTTATTAATAGGCATTTATGTTTCCTAAATATGATCCAAATTTCATAAAAAGACCCATTTTGCAGCATTTCATATCAAAGCCCAGTAAGGGGTGCTCTAGTATTATGTTTCCTTAGCTGTGCTATGTAAAATAACAAACTATAGCAGTCCAAGATGTCAATCCAGTCAAACAAGGCACCCTCGTAAGCTCATCAACCAAGGCCAAACTATGCCATGTACAAAACAGGAATAAAATACCCCGCCAGGAAATAGCATAACCTTTCCATGTTCTCACTTAGAATTTATCACAATCTTAACAAAAGATAATATACAAAAGTCAGGGCCTGAGCAGCTGACAACGACAAGGCATAAAATTCAAGGATGACAACTTCGATTGCCTAAGTGAGTTCAAATCCACAATCCAGCTGAAATATTTTAGGGCTGCTGTGAAACAGGAGCAAACTCTTACCTCCTTTCAGTGTCTCAGTGAAGCCTCCAAGATGATACAGAGAAAGTGCCAGATGTCAAGTATGCCCAGTTCCTGTCCCCTGAAGTTGTAGAATGAACTCTAAGTAACAGCAGTTTAAGAGTAGGAACATTTATTGGAGAAAAGGAGTAGGGAATAGCAGTGGGAGAATGGGGAATAGAAAAAGCTCCCAAGACATAGGAGGAGTCTCAGATGAGTTGCCCTCAGATTCAACTTTGTAGCAAAACAAACAAATAGCCAGCTGGGCATGGTGGCATATTCCTGTAACCCCAGCAACACTCTGGGAGGCTAAGTCAGGAGGATCTCAACTGTAAGCACAGCCTGGGAAATTTAGTGAATTAGCAAAGATCTGTCTCAAAATAAAATTTTAAAAAGCTGGGAATGTAGCTCAGCATGGCCTTGGAGTCCGTACTTCAGTACTAAAAACAAAAAACTCAGCTGTGCTCCTATTCCAGTAAAACATTACATCAACAGGTGTAGTTCGCCAGTGCAGAGCAGGCTGGTGTAGAGTTCATGGCAGTGTTGAATTCCCTTTATGAGGCAGCACGCTCTAACTCTCCCTCACAGTAGGGATGGGTTGTTTATATAATCCTGAAACACGTCTTTGCCCGCTGTCCAGGCTTCTGAGTTGATGTGTTTCTGAGTGAAGCTGCCACAGGTTTTTTACTTCTAAACAACAAAATGTGTACCAGAAAATTACTCTTCTAAAGTGGCATCAGAGCACAATTTGTCCTTTTTCAAAGCCATTTCTGGGTGTGGGTGTGGAACAGTGATAATGTACTTGCCTAGAATGAGTGAGATCCTGGCTTACATCCTGAGGACCCCCCAAAAAAGGTATTGTACAGTATTTCCATTTCTTTGTATTTTATCTCTTTACTTATTTGAGCTTTTGAAAACAAGGCTTCATAATGTAGTCCAGGCTGATCTTGAACTTTGTTTGCATTAAAACTCTGGTAATAAATGGAGGGAAAGAATTTAAAAAGGAATTAATGAGTGTCAGGTACATGTATCAACTGTTCACAGTGAATGTTATCATTATGTACTGGAAACATGTAGTAATAAAGAAATTAAAAACCATTTCAGTAATACTACCTGCTTTGAGTCCTGCCATTATGTAAGAAGCTAATGTAGCAGGCATGGTGGCACATGCCTGTAATCTCAGGACTCCAGAGGTCAAGGCAGGATGATCACTGCAAATTTGAGGCCAACCTTGGCTATGTAATGAGTTCGAGGACAGCCTGAACTACATAGTGACACCTTATGTCAAAAAAGACTATATATATATATACATATATATATATATATACATACACACACATATATACATACATACATAAATGGCTAATGTAAAACTGATTTAGGGCAAATGGATGCCTATCTATTGGGCACTTGATAGAAACAAACCTAGACATTCATTTGCTTAGAAAATCCATGCCTCTAGAATTTTGATAATTGGGCCCAGCATGGTGCCCGAGACAAGATCACAAGTTCATGCCCAGCCTGAGCAACTTAACAACTTAGCAAGACCTAGTCTGGAAAAAAAAAAAAAAGGCTAGGGATTTGGGGATGTAGTTCAATGTAAAGACTGTAGGTTCAACCTGCAGCACCAATATATAAAATAATATTTTAAAAAGTAAGGCTGGGTGTCATGTATGCATCTGTAATCTCAGCACTTGGGAGGATAAGGTGTGAGGAGGTTAGCGTGGCTACATAGTGAGTTCAAGGGCAGCCTGAGTTACATAGCAAGGCCCTGTCTCAAAAACAAATAAATAAATGCATTGCATGAGAATGGATTAGCAAACAAGAACAAGTGGTACTTCCTCTCAAAACTCCTGCCAGCTCAGGGACCTGAAAAGTACGTTTAAAGCATTATTGAGAGGAAGGAAATAAATAGAAGTTTTTTAAAAGGTTTATTGTGAACAGGAATTTAATTCGGTACAAGTGAAAAAGTAGGCTGGAAGCTAGAGTTGCATGTGAAGCATGGAGAGATAGAAACGTAGACGGAAGGGGAGAAAAGACACAAAGAACCCCGGGCATCAGGGATCTACACAGATAGGAGAGAATCCTGCCAAAACTAAAAAAATACTTTGAACCCCACACTACCTTGTTGTGTACAAGACAAAAAATTACTGAGCTCTAAATATTTTAGTGGTGGGGAAAAAAGACAATCTGAAGAGCTATGGAATTTAAGAGGTTACAGGATTGGGATAAGGGTGATGGGAAATATTTCATGAGGAGCAGTATTATTAAAGTGCTGAGGGACA